CATCCTGAAGATCCACTTCCAGAACTGGGAGCAGTTCTGGTCGATCCTGGGGGTCCACCAAAACCCACTTCCAGAACTTGATGATTATTAAGATTGAATGTTGATAAATTATCAGGATTCGATCTTAATAACTTCAAAACGATATTATTAAGATTCATCCGGTAACTTTATTATTTGAATATAGTTAATAACCTGATAAAAAGTTGATAGCGTTATTAAGATTTATCGGTATTATGATCGGATCTCAATAATCTCTAAAAATTATTAGGATGGTTATTAAGATACGAATATGGCACAGCTATAATAGCGCTCATCAGCTCAACCATTATCGGATTGCCATGTATTGATTTCCCTTTCCTTTCCTAATGCAAATTTCTCGCCTCGATTTTGTGTGCGTGCAGCAAAAGGTGAATAGCAATAGTTTTTATCGGCATATCTGTGTGCCATATTCCCATATTTGTACGCAAAGTGCCAACATAAAAATTGGGTTAATCAGCTTAGTCCGGAAAAATCGGCTAAACAACAACAACCATCAAATTCATGTGGCACCGTTTAATTCGAAACTCATCTATCGTGAGATTAAACATTTAAAGTTTAATCTAACTGATGGAAGTGATTCAAATGCAATACCATTTGATAAACGTCAGCGCAAATACATGGCATTAGTATCTTTAAATTTTATTTACACTCGATGTTGTTTTTTCTCTTCACATTCTCCCGTTAGCCGCAAACTGTTTGGAATTTCAGTGAATTGGTGACGATCGCTCATGCCTTGGCAGTATGTCGATATAGTGATGCAACTATTAAATTCTATTAAGAGCAAGCAAGCGAGCAAAAAAAAAACACAACCAAATAGAGAATGAAGAGTGAAAACAACATCAGCTAAAACTGTATATTGCAGTTTTCCACATTTTTGTGTGCTTCGTTTAGAGTGAATGAAATGTGCAATGAAAAGGATATAAATACGGGTATCCAATTTCACCAACAGCAACCATGATTACTATTACAATTTACACATTTTTTATGCAAAAAAAGAGGGGAGGGGGGAAATTGTGCACTTTCATCGTGAGCAAACCATTGAGAATAGAAAATCACCTACACGGGTGTTGATGGCAAAATGTGTTTGTGTGTTTTTTTTGTTGACTCGATAGCACTGCACTTTTTTTCTCATACGCTTTCATTCGCTCTATCTCTTTCGTTGGTTCGTTAACAGCGGTAGGAGCAGCAAAAATGTTAACACATGTGTGCGGTCGAAGCTGGCTCTATCACGTTTAATGTAGGTCAAGTACCAACTCAAATGCAGCAATTCTTTATTTACATTTTATCATCGTAACTTCTTTCTTGCGTCTAAATTTAAAATGTGTTACAGTGGCAGCAACAACAAAAAACCACAAACGCAGCAAGAATGAAAGACAGAGGAAGCGATAAGAGGCGAATTCGTGTCCTTGGTTTCATTGTGCCATAGCAAGAACAAACGCATTCATGTTTACCGAACATCAAGCGGCTCGGAGCTCATTGTTGCGTTGATGATTTTCAAATTCTTTGATTTTGATGCTCTCTACCTCTCCATCTCAATAGCTTAATTATGGCATTTAATACGCTTTTTGTGTTGAACATTCGTTCGATGCACTCAACGTCCCGTTTGTTTCGGTGCATTTGTGCTTCGCATTATAAACGCAACTACCAAATTGAATGTACTTGAAAAGCGTAAAACAATTTTTTTTTTGCAATTCTCAATTTCAATCTAAATTGTAATAAGCTTCATTTTAGTTAATTCAATGCAAAATCGAAATTAAGGTCGCTTGTTGCGCAATATTTGATGGTTTTTCAATTGAATTAGATGGCAAGTGAATGTGAAATACAGAAATTTCGTTCAATTTATGATCCAAAAAAAATTGGGAGCTCGTATTTTTCGCTCACTCTCTTTCCCATTTGGAATATTGTGAAGGCAATTATATACGCCAATCCAAATGTTATTGCTTCAGTACATGTGTACACAATTGACTTTCGATGATAGGAACGTGCTTTGCAATGTGTTACAAATCCATCTTGTACATGCCCACAATGTCTCACTAAATATTCAATAAAAAAAGACGGCTGCCATATTTCGAAAATGATACATCACATTGAATGGAAGCGCCAATCTGACAATCATTTCTCTCTTCTTTTTTTCCATTCCGATCATCATCAATTGCTACATTTGATTGGCTTATAGCAAACGACATTTAAAAAAAATGGTGCTATTTTCGGGAAATTGGAAGAAGTTCGTTCGGTTTACAAATAACACCGATGATATATCATAACTTATCAGATCTCACTACACATAACAAAAATAACTCAATCCTTGTACTTCCTTCCTAATGCTTTCAAACCCACACCGACACACACATTGTAATCCCTTGTTCTCTTCCTTTATCTCTCGCATACACGAAAGAAGAAGAAAAGTACAAATTTCTGGGGCAATTTTCTTCGAAACGGAAGTGTTTGTATTTCCACAGAATGTAACATGAGCTGGATATATTTGCACCAATAATAACTTAAAAAGCTGCATGTACGTTGTTTCAAGTTTAAACTATGATATTTTACCATTTTAATGAAAAACTGCCATTTGACATGTGAGTTTCTTATACAATTCACACACATATGTATATGCTTTGACGCATGCCTCACATTCCACGAAACGAAATAATACAAGAGCACTTGAGGCGAATGAAAACATGTGAGTGAAGTGCGCGTGAAAATTCATAAAGTGCTATATAAATCGTTGAGATAGAAGACAGAGAAGTATTACAGTAAAATCCGATTATCTTTTACATATCCATGGAGCGTTTGAGGAGGTGGGGTGTGCAGAGAGGATAAAAAAATGTGGAGGAACAAGATGAGCTTCCCGCATGCATGACGTATAATCATGAACGATGATGCACCTGTGGCAAAACGGCGCACAGCCAGGTGGAAAATTATCCAAAATTAAATATCAAATATAAGAAACTCAGACATACACACACATGCACGCACGTAAACAGCGACGCCGAAAAAAGAAAATTGAAAATTCCACCCATTGATCCAATAAAATAATTGTCGATTTTCATTCGCATCTCTTGATTTATATGCAAATTACGCCATTTCTCTTGCCATTGAATATGTGAAGCCGTTTTGTCACCTTTTAATATCAGCTGAATCCATGCATTGGGATGCGATTAAGTGGCCAAACTGACACACACACACACACACACATTGATTCCAAACGATCACCACCACAAATGAATTGAATTTTTACTAATTTACCTACTCTCTTTTTTCTGTCTTCCTCTCCCTGTCCCGCTTTTCCTCGTGTTTTTTTCCTCGTTCGGATGAATTGATAGGTGCCAACGTCAACGCCAGTTTACTATCAATACGAGAACCACACGCTCCTCTCGATGACAACCGAAACACCAGCTCAACAACAAAAACCATGTAAATGGACCTGTGAGTTAACTAATGACAGAGGCTACGTCGTTTATTCGGCGCTTGGTTCATTTTATATACCAATGTTTGTGATGCTGTTTTTCTATTGGCGAATTTACCGAGCGGCTGTCAGGACAACGCGTGCCATTAATCAAGGATTTAAAACCACAAAGGGTAAGATTTGTACACACCACATGATATAATTTCCCATATTTTCACATTTTTTTTATACACACACATTGTTATGGAGCGCTTCTTGATCATCGTACCGAAAAAAAATATTTTTTTTCATTCTGTTCGTTTTTTTTCCTCCACACATTTTTTTTTCTTTCGTATTAATTAAAACACACGCATACATATTTACATACATGACATATGTAACACATAACACCATTCACACACATACACAACAAACCACGAACACACACACACACACACACGCACTTACACCGCGTGTCGCATACATCTATATATGGACACCATGTAATTTGTAGTGAATCTCAAAACACTTTCATTTGATTACTCTCACATTTTTTCGTAGTACATGGCACGCCAAAAAAAAATACCTTTACATTTTGAGCTCCAAGTAAATTCTGTTCTTTATTTCAAACAGAAACTATAATAACAAATAATGCCCCACCCTCAAACAAACCCAACCAAATAAATAGAAAAAAAAATTAAACAAGAACGAAATTTATTCTAAGTATGTTTTGTGAACGGATTGCCAAATTGGGATAAGATCAAGTAACACCTTTAAACTTTCAAAAGAACGAAAGCAAAAGACGAAACAAATTTGTACATGTAATCAGATCATCCGTTTGCGAAATATTGCTGATTTGTATCAGCGTTTAAGGCATACACAAAATAAAATAAAAAATAATACTTATACCAATGAACATAAATCCCACCGGCCCAACCACGATCCACGTTTGACCACAAAAAATGCGCTTTTTTTGTACAAACGATCTGATCTCACAGCGCGACTATTTATATAGATAAATAAATTGAGGCTGTGAGAATGAAAATGGCAATACAGGAATAAACATTCTGAAACGAAACATAAAACAGCAAACACGCAAAAATGAATCATGAATGTTTGAGCAGCAGCAGTGAACCATGAGTATCGGTACGTGTGCGTAAATTTATGATTTGCTTCAACACAGCGCTCATTCAAGATTCACTTTTGAGAATTTTCTTTCTTAGCGGCACTTCAGTAAATATTTTTGTTACGTTGTGCATTTGTATGTTTTCGTTTCATGAGTCAGTTTTAAAAAAATGTTATTCATTTCCAAACTCACCGTTTCAATCCAGACAAAATATATTATTTCCAATCATCGACCTTGACACTGAAACCGTAGCGCATGGAAAATGACACAGAAGAAATGCGACAACAAACAAACATCGCAAAATCACAACGCATCAGAGAGAGTGGGAGCATCTGTGCTGTTCGCACAACAGCAAATATTCATGGCACACTGGTACCGTGTCAGTGGAGACTACCAATACCAGCGCAAATTAGAACAATTGATTTGTATTGTTGACATCACTGAGACAGTGCCAGTGCGTTATGCATATTAAGCCGCTAAGAAAGAAAATTCTCAAAAGTGAATCTTGAATGAGCGCCGTGTTGAAGCGAATCATGAATTTACGCACACGTACCGATACTCATGGTTCACTGCTGCTGCTCAAACATTCATGATTCGCTTTTGCGTGTTTGTTGCTTTATGTTTCGTTTCAGAATGTGTATTCCTGTATTGCCATTTTCATTCTCACAGCCTCAATTCACATTTGCATTTGCATTTTTTTTTCTCTTCAACTTCTTACTTATTCTATCCCATACAAACACACACACACACACCAACATTCACTATCTCTCTTGTCTATCTCTCACACTACTCTAGCATATCTATCTGTATTCAACTTATTTTTAGCCAAGTGAGATGGGTCGTTAATTTGCATATAGCATACACTCTATGAATTATTTGACAGTTCCAATTTTAAAATTGCATAATTAGTATTGTAACGTAGAGCAACAACGGTTGGGAACGAATGCAACAACTACAATAACAACGGAAAAAAAGCACCATCAAATTATGACAACCAAACAAACAACAAGTTTGAAATAATTTCTATACATATATTTTTTTTGGTAAAAAATTTCCATCCTGATATCCACTAGACATTTTGTGATAATACTTCTTAGTCCCTAGAACACACACTCTCTGCCGAAATGCATTCTATTATTTGGTATGAGTACAAACGCAAGAAATTAAAAAACATACTATATATGCATACGTAGCCCATTTATTATTTATAAAGAAAACAAGTAGCTACAGTTTACATGTAAACTGGAACGATTCATACGGTAAAAATTGGTTGAAAGATAAATTTGTGTGCACTCATTAAATAACACGAATTATGAATAGGATTTGGATTAATATTAATTTGCGAGATGAGTGCGATAGAGAGGTAGAATGCGAAAGTGAGTGTGAGAGAGAGGGAAAGTGAGAGTGGGCAAGAGAAAATGGCTTGCCAATGCTATCAAAACCAAACTCCTTTGCTAGTTTTGTCAAAACTTATAATCTTTTTCCCATTATTTATTTTACTTTCGCGATGTTGTACATTTTTCGTTGTTAAGCTCTGTTCTACTCTTGCCTCTCTCTATCAAGCTCTCACTCAATTGCGCCTTCTCTCTCTCCCTCTTCCATGGCTTATAAATTTGCATTCGCTCCATCTCCCTCTCTCTCTCCCTCTCTCTCTCTCCCTCTCTCTCTCTCCCTCTCTCTCTCTCTCTCTCTCTCTCTCTCTCTCTCTCTCTCTCTCTC